TGAAAGATGATCCACAGCTTACCAGCACCCACTCCACATAAGCCGCGAAGCTCAACTGGGAGCCCTCCCCGGACAACTGCTCTCTGGTGGCGGTGTTGAGGCCAGCATATAAAAAGCTGCAGAGGCTGTCGTCCGGGAAGGTGGTAGAGGGGACGAGGTTGAGGAAATCCTCCAGATGGTCCTCCAAGGAACGATCTCCTTGCTCCAAACAAAGCAGTGCTACTGCTGCAAAGGAATCCATTTTTGGGGTCGGTCAATCTGGCACGGGGCGTGGTGCAGGCTGAGGAACCGAAGGACTCCAGAGAAACGATAAAGATGCTTTTAATATAACCAACAGGCAGGAAGACAGGAACACGGGTGCAACACAGCTCACATTAGACATTGACCGACAAAGACTGACTAAATGAGGGAGAACTAAATACAAGCAGGAATCAAACATAATGAGGTGAGAACAGGTGACACAGATGATCAAGACGAGGAACAGGTGGCTGATGAGGGAGTGAGTTCAGGAGTGGAGACAAGAGGATCCTGGGAAGTGTAGTGCTGATGACAAGACAGACTGGTGCAGACGAGGACTGTGACACTCATCCCAGTTACATTTATTTAATTCCATTTGCAGTGTTTCAATTGCTTTCGGTGTTCTATGTCTCACTCTTCTTGAATATATGGTTGGACCTAGTGATGGTTTAAATACGTTTTGGAAACATGCAAAGACAGGCAGGTGGTCACTAATATTGGTTATTAGGATACCTCCATCAATTTTACCAACGTCATTTGAAAATATATTATCAATTAATGTTGCTGATACTGTTGTTATTCTTGTTGGCTTTGCTATTACTGGAAATAAAGACCTATTATAAAAGGCATTAATAAATTCTGTGGTCTTCTTATGTCCCCCTGGATTAAGCAGGTCAACATTAAAGTCACCACAGACAATATTTGTCTTATTTCCATTTGAGTTAAACATGTTCCCGACAAATTCATTAAAAATATCCAATGATGAACCAGGTGTTCTATATATACAGCAAACAATTATATTCTTTTGTGTTTCCATACAGATCTCAACAGTAACACATTCTAATATATTTTATATATTAGACTCCTCCTCTCCTATCTTTTTTATTCATTACAAACATTTGATATCCCTCTAATTCTATCTCTGCAAATTTATCTTCGTCCAACCATGTTTCAGAAACAGCAACAACACTAAATTTTGGAAACAGGTTCAGATAGTCTTTGATTTTTGAAAAGTTACTCCACAAACGTCTCGAACGTCAGGAGTCACGGAGAATGGGGGGTTTCGCATAGAAAGCCAATCCTCTTCGAGTATTTAATAACGAGCCAATGGCATGAGAATGCCTTGGGGCTGCGGAATTTGCATAGCGTAACTCCGCCTCACCTCGTGGGTATAAAAGGAGGAAGTGAACGCAACCGCAGTATGTCTTCACTGAGGAGCCGAGACTGAACTCAGGCGTCTACCCAGCGGTACAGCCGAAGTGGCAAGGAGACGTAACGTCTCCGTTCCCTACTCAGGGAACGAGGGTTACATCCGTAACCGAGACGTTCCCTTTCGTAGTCACTCCGAGTTACGTCAGGAGTGACGGAGAATGGGGGTCTGTGCCATCACGCAACTTCAAGCTGTCTTCCAGTGCCCTGCGAAAGTCTGGACTCCTGAACTTAACTTATAACCAGGAGTTCCCACTTTAACACAGGAATACTAAGGTACACTGGGAAGCATATCCCGGGAGGGACATGCAACCAGATGCCTACCGTAGGAAGGACTTAAGAATACACATATGGCCGTGTTAGGGACTACATATGGAGATCACTGGAGTACCAACCACGGGTGGCTAAACGACTTAGCTCCAGGTGTGGCAGATGGCTTGCCAAGGGAAGACACATGCTCAGAGAGGCTGACAGTGGATAACACACATGAGACAGTTACCATAGGGAACCGTGCACATGGAGGCACCTTGCCGGCATCCAGAGCAAAAACAGTGGTGCCCGCATCGTAAGTGCTGGAGGACTCAAGGCTTCAACGGAAAACTACTGAGGAAATATCTCACTTATCCAGTCCGAGGAGTGGAATGGCGAGCAAGCGAAGACTCCTAAGCGGGTCCACCCACATGGAAATAAACTATATGAGGATATGCGTATATATGAAACCTACATGCAGTTTATATGCACATATATGCTGCATATATACAGCATATATGCACATATATGATAATATATATGCTGCATATGTGTGTATATATGACACATATAGGCAATTTTAGGTGCATATATGCACACATATGATAAGATATATGCTGCATATGTGTGTATATATGGCACATATAGGCAATTTTAGGTGCATATATGTGCATATACAGGCCATATAGGTCTCCTGCATTGCTACTTTATATCCACATATAAGTGCTATATACAAGAGTATCCTATACTGTAGCTCATGGCAGGATCTGGTCATTTGTAGCTCATCCACTCTAAACAATGCTGGGTTGTTTGAACCCAAATTTGGGTAAAATATGGACAAACCCAAATGTTTGGTTAAAAATGTAATTTCAAATTTTAACCCAAATTCAACTTTCACTTTCACTTTTTCAATTGTACATTTTTTAAATTGCATTTTTAACCCAACGTTTGGGTTTGTCCATGTTTGACCCAAAGCAGTTTTAGAGTGTATATGTCACTATATTGCTAAAATAAATAAATAAATATTTATATACATATCAGAATGACTTAGTGGAAAAGAAGGAAATGTATAACAAAAGGGTTTGTTGTTTTTTCATTTTACCAAAAAGCCCTTTTTCCAATTTCAAGTCACTTTCCTATACACATCCACACATTCACCGATACATCCACCAAATGCAATGCAAATTGCAATGTTTTCTGTATTTTCTGAATGCAGTTTTTTTTCTGGCTGAAAGGTCATGACAGTCAAAATGTAGCAAAAAAAAAAAAAAGTGAATAGAACGTACATTCAAATAATCATCATCATCCCACCATCTATCCCACCATCCCATCATCTATCTGAGCAATTCACAGTGGTTAATAAATTCGAATGCTGCTGCACTGCCGATTGGCCGCTACAGCGCCCCGTAGTTGATGACGTCACCCACCTAACGCTTGACGTTATCCGTATCCGATGAGATGAAGTCAAGTTTCGCGCCGGAAGATAACGGCTGGGATTAAAAATTGCGATTTCAGCATTGGAGATCCTCTAAGTCAGGGGTTCTCAACTCCAGTCCTCGCGACCCACTGCTCTGCATATTGTGTATGTCTCCCTTACTTAACACACCTGATTCAGATCCTCAGCTCGTTAAGATAGACTCTACGGCTATCCTAACGAGCTGAGGATCTGAATCAGGTGTGTTAAATAAGGAAGACATACACAATATACGCCTTATTCACGGCAGCGCCATCTTTGATTTTTAATGAGAATGAAAGCGAGGCTGTGAGGGATAGACTTGCATCTCTTCAATGGGCTGTATTGTTATTTAGACCCCGTTTACACCTGGTATTAAAATGCGATCTGTATCCAGATAAGTTATCCGGATAATAAGTACTGATTCCATTTACACCTGGCCACATAAATGTGTTTTTGCAAAACGGATATAAATCCGATCTTCACCTCCTGCGTTATATGCAGATTTATTGGATTGCACGCCACCAAAAGCAACAGATCTGAGTGGCATTTTATTGATCATCAGCTAATTTCCAAATCAGAGACATCAATAAGAGAGAGTGGCAACAGGCCTGGTAAGATAATTTCGTTTTTTTACTTGAAGATGTGTTAACTGCGTCTGTGACTTACTTTCACTTTTATTTGCGATGTTTGCACGTTGAATAGACGCTCAGCTGCTCATCTGCGGTGATGCGTGTCGCGTGTCGCATCTGACTAGGCTATAACATGACATATAGCCTATATAACACGCTCTCACTCGTTTATTTTTTAGCATTTTTGGGAGGAGTAAAATATACATATGTGGTTTCAACAACCAGATTGCGTTTACACCTAGTAAAGATCCGGACACAATGCGAGCCAGACTACCTCCAGATGTGGTCAGGCAGATCCGATCACGATCCGATCACAACGCGTTTACACCTTGCATTAACATGCGTTTTTTATTATCCGGATAACTTATCTGGATACAGATCGCATTTTAATACCAGGTGTAAACGGGGTCTTTATGTGTTTTCGGATTGTTCTGCTCATGAAACACTGGAAAAATATCTTTCCAAGAAATGTCAGTTGACAAAAAACTCCCGACAATGTAAGCTGTGGAAAATTGTAAGTAATCTAGGAGCTTTATTCAGCTTTTTACAGCGGATGCCATTGGAAACACGGTAAGTCTGTCCCTCACAGCCTCACTTTCATACCTGTCATGGCGCTGCTCTGAATAAGGTCTATGCAGAGCAGTGGGTCGCGAGGACTGGAGTTGAGAACCCCTGCTCTAAGTCCTACTTATCACCAATCGTAAGTATTCCTAATGTTATATTTATTTGCGGTGGCAGAATTAGAATTATAAACTTAGCATTTATTTTTTGCCAAACTCACCTGTTTCAGCCCATACACTTCCTATGTTGTTAGCTGGTGAGGTAACGTAACGTTACTGTGGGTGCTAATATAACGTTAGCCATTGATAAGATTCAATTTAGAATTAACGTGTATTTATTTGTTTCTTTCTGGAGGAATTCGTAGAGGGTTAACAAAAGTCATGGCCTAGAGAACATAACGTCATGAGAATAAATGATACTTCTCTGCCAACGGCTCAAGAAGGCAATCGGCTCCAGAAAAAAAAATACCTGTGGAGTTTGAATTTGGTCGAAATTGGTGAAAGAAAATTGCATTCACAACCAGGTTTCCTCTCCGGAGCCGTATCAATGGGCTTGCCTTCACAGTTGCAGGAAATGTCTGTCAAATAGTAAACATTAACATTAGGGCATCACTATTTTGATTAAGTGATTGTAATTGCTTTTATATAACCTCTTTCTATAATTACCTCAAATGAAAAGTTACCTCGCCATTATTGCTCAAAAGGTAAGTTCCTCTGATTTTGCTTTTTAAAATTGTTTCTCTAGCAGAGCTGTAGAGACTTGTGATGTTGGGCTGATTGATAGTGTTAATTATTTGATTTAAGTTATTTGCACTTTAATTTATTGAAGAGAATAACTTTTATTTTTCTTCTGAACAAGACTGGAAGGAGTCCTGTGGAGGATTTAGATTCCTCCTCTTTTGAGAAGTGCAACTGGTGAGTAACCCCCTTGAATTTGTATTTATTTATAAAAAAATACCCCCCCCCCCCCCCCCCCCCCAATTTGTTTCATATCTTTATCATTAATCTGCATGTATACATAAAAACATATAAACTATTGGGAAGCTAAGCATAAGAATCAATATGAAACAATGCCAATAAATGAATAAATTATTTTTCAGATTGAAGTTATAAAGGGCTCTGGGGTGTTTTGCCAGGCAGAAGTGTGGAAAGCAGCCCTCCTTGCCACCTCTGCTACTGCCATGGTGTGGAATCTGCTGCTGGGCACATTTGATCTGGAGACTTTGCTGAAAAACAACCTGAATGGTACAAAACATGCTCCTAATCTCTTCTGTCCGTAAAAAACAATTCATATTCTGTGGAATAAATTATGTTTGTGTGCGGGCATACCATCGCTTTTTTTACTTGCCATTTTTGTATTTCCTTGCACCTCAAGAAAATGTGATGTGTATATAAAAAAGTATTGCTTTCACAAGCTTCATTTTAACCCCCTTTTATAATAATTTTGAAATGTTACTTTAAGGTGGGAAGCCAACCAGAGGGGATGGGGAGCAGCTGGTCGCCCTTGACCAAATTAAAAAGGCATCATTATTGGTGAGTAAATGTATAAAAGTTTTGTTTTCCCTTCTCAACGCATTAGGATTTTATAAGTTCACCACTTTAACCATAGCCTACTTGTATCAATGTTTATTAGGCATCAATGGAGACTGTATAAGGGATTATTGTTACTATATCTGCTTGGAACCTATAATACTAATTCATCGCTTGCTCAGTTCTTGATCCTAACTTACTTTTTCTTAAGCCACGTTTCAGATTTTTCAGAATCTTCAGAATCTTCCAATTGACATGTTTACATGATGCATTTTTTAAAATGATCAACCTTTTATCAAAAAATATGTGTCCGATCACATCTGTACTGTAAGCACTTTGGGTTCCTGATGAAGTACTATATTCTTCTTCTTCTTCTTATTATTATTATTGTTATTATTATTATTATTATTATTATAGTGTCTTATTATTTTTGTCTTCTCTAGATGCTACATTGAAGAAGTGGCCGTCAGCCAGCCGAGGGGAGATGGGCACGTCTATCAATTCAAAGCTCGTGGAGCTGAGAAGATCAAAAAGATTTTTTTCTATCCAGTTTTTTTGTCTTATTTTTGTTTTTGTACTATTTGATCTTAAGTAAATAAATAATCTAAATGCATACATTTTGGACCATTATTTATGTTGCCTAGTAGCTATGGATTTTAATAATTATTCTAATATAGGTAAACATGTTGGTGCATGTATAGGTGAACATATATGTTCACATGCATACATACATATAGGTACATATATGCATGTATATATGCACCTATATGTGCACATATATGCATGCATACATGTACATATATAGGTACATATATGCATGTATATACGCACCTATATGTGTACATATATGCATGCATAAATGTACATATATAGGTTCATATATGCACAAATATATGCACCTATATGTGTACATATATGCGTGCATACATGTTCATATATGCACCTATATGTGTACATATATGTGTGCATACATGTACCTATATAGGTGCGTATATATGTGTACATATATGCATGTATATATGTACATATATGTGCATATATGTACATATAATATAGGAACATATTTTATATCATATTTAATATATATGTCACATATAAACATATTTAATATACTTGTATGTCACATACTTTGTATATTAAAAACATATATCAAAACCTATATTAAAACATATATGTTTATATAGGTTTTTTCCATGTGGGCAGTACTGGCGGAAACGAGTACGCGAGAGGACACCGGCTCTATTCGCAGATTGTAGAATCTTGCGAAGGTGTTTGGTGTCGCCCAGCCTGCAGCTCTGCAAATGTCTGTCAGCGAGGCGCCATACGCTAAAGCCAAAGAGGAAGCCACACTCAGAGTGGAGTGGGCCGTCACACCAAGGGGGCATGGTCGACCTTGCTGTTGGTAAGCCAAAGCAATGGCGTCCACTAACCAGTGAGGCAGCTGTTGCTTTGAGAGAGCCCTTCCCTTCTGGCTCCCCCCATAACAGACAAAGAGCTGGTCTGAGGTCCTGAAACACCGCGTTCTGTCGACGTAGGCGCGGAGCGCACGTACCGGACAGAGCAGTGCCAAGGCTGGGTCTGCCTCCTCCAGCGGCAGCGCTTGCAGGTTCACCACCTGGTCCCGGAAGGGAGTGGTGGGAACCTTGGGCACGTATCCAGGCCGGGGTCTCAAAATCACGTGAGAGTAAGCCGGCCCGAACTCCTGGCACGCTTCGTCAACGGAGAATGCGTGCAGGTCCCCTACCCTCTTGATGGAGGCCAATGCAACCAGGAGTGCTGTCTTCATGGACATAAACTTTAACTCTACCGATTGCAAAGGCTCAAAGGGAGGCCTCTGCAGAGCACTTAGAACTACTGAGAGGTCCCAAGAGGGCACGAGGGGAGGACGAGGCGGATTTAGCCTCCTCGCTCCCCTCAGGAACCTGATGACCAGGTCGTGCTTCCCGACGGACTTACCTTCTACTGCATCATGAGACGCGGCAATGGCCACGACATAAACTTTAAGGGTGGAGGGCGACAGCCTACACTCCAACCCTTCTTGCAGGAAGGAAACCACGACACCGATCGAACATCTCCGGGGGTCTTCTCCGGGAGAAGAGCACCAGTTGACGAAGAGGTTCCACTTCAACGCGTATATAGGTGTCTCGTGGACGACGCTCTAGCGGAAGTGATGGTTGCCGCCACCGCGGGTGGCAGCGAACTCAAACCTGCCTCAGAGTGCCCCGTCTCTGAGTGAGTAGATCTTGTCTCAGAGGAATAGGCCAAGGAGGTGCTGTCGCGAGGAGCATGAGTTCGGAGAACCACGTCTTGGTGGGCCAATAGGGGGCTACCAGCAAGATCTGCTCCTCGTCCTCCTTGATCTTGCACAACACCCGTGCAAGAAGGCTCACTGTGGGAAACGCATACTTGCGTGGGCCTCTCGGCCAGCTGTGCGCCAGTGCATCTGTGCCCTCGGACAGGGAATATAACTGGGCGCAGTGGGATGAGTCCCGAGAGGCGAACAGATCTATCTGTGCCTCCCCGAACTGGTCCCAAATCAGCTGGACCGTCTGGGGATGGAGTCGCCATTCGCCGGAGATAGGGCGGACCCGTGACAGCTCGTCGGCTGCCAGGTTCCGGTCTCCTGGAATGTACACTGCACGAAGGGACCTCAGGTGCTTCTGACTCCATAGCAGGAGGTGGCGGGTGAGCTGCGACAACTGACGTGAGCGTAGACCACCCTGCTGGTTGATGTACGCTACTATAGCGGTATTGTCTGAACGGACAAGTACGTGTTGACCCCTGAGCAGTGCTCGAAAGCGGTGCAGGGCCAGGCGTACTGCCAGCAGCTCGAGGCAATTGATGTGCATGAGGCTCTGGGGTCCTGTCCAGGAACCGGCGGCTGCATGCCCATTGCACATGGCACCCCAACACGTGGTAGATGCATCCGTGGAGACAACGAGATGCCTGGAAACTCGCTGAAGAGGGACTCCGGCCCGTAAAAAGCTGAGGTTCGACCACGGGAAGAAGATTTGGCGGCATGCTGGAGTCACTGGAACTCGGAGCGAGACGCAATACCATGCCCACCTCGGGACTCGATCGCGAAGCCACAGCTGAAGCGGTCTCATATGAAGCAATCCGAGCGGCGTTGCCGCGGCTGAGGATGCCATATGCCCCAGGAGCCTCTGAAAAAGTTTCATTGGAACCGCACTCTTGCCCTCGAACTGTCGAAGACAAGTCAGCAGTGAGTGCGCGCGCTCGTTCGTGAGCTGTGCGGACATGGCGACCGAGTCTATCTCCATGCCGAGAAAAGAGATCCTCTGCACAGGGCAAAGTGTGCTCTTTTCCTGGTTGACCCGAAGGCCCAGACGGGCTAGGTGCCGGAGCACCAGGTCTCTGTGTTCGCAAACCTGTTCTCGAGAGTGTGCCAGTATCAGCCAATCGTCGAGATAGTTCTCCAGTTCATCCTTGCGAACCCCGTGTTCGCGAAGGGGAACAAGGGCTGCCTCGATGATCTTCGTGAAGACGCGAGGGGACAGAGCTAACCCGAATGGGAGAACCGTGTACTGATATGCCTGGCCTTCGAAAGCAAACCGAAGAAACGGTCTGTGTCGAGGCAAAATGGAGACATGAAAGTACGGGTCCTTCAGGTCGATCGCTGCAAACCAATCCTGAGGCCGGACGCATTCGAAAATGCGTTTGGCTGTGAGCATTTTGAACGGTAGTCGATGGAGAGTACGGTTCAAAACGCGCAGGTCCAGGATCAGTCGTAACCCACCGGTCTTCTTGGGGACAATGAAGTAGGGGCTGTAAAACCCCGACCTCACCTCGGCTGGAGGGACCGTTTCCATTGCACCCTTCACCAGCAGGGTCGCAATCTCCGCTTTCATGACCGGGGCATTGCCACCGACCATAGTGGAGCGAACTCCCCTGAAACAGGGAGGAGACCGAGCAAACTGAATCGCGTAGCCGAATCTGATCGTTCTGATGACCCAGCGGGACAGACTGGGGGGACCCCTTTCGTCGCCCGGAGAGCGAGGTCAGTGGCAGCTCGCAGCTCGTTAAAAGCCGTTGGGTCAGTCCCCCCTTCGTGCATATCTCTGAGCAGTTTGGCTTGGAAAACCTGCAAAGTGCTCATCGCATGCAGGGCGGGGGCTGCCTGTCCCGCCGCTCTATAGGAACGCGCCGCCATAGACGACGAGAACCTACAGGCTTTGGATGGGTGCTTAGGAGTCCCACGGGAGGACGCGCTCTGTGGACACAGTTGCATCGCAACAGAGCGCTCCACCAGGGGAATCCCAGCGTACCCACGGGCAGCTGTACCGTCGAGGGGAGGAAAGGCGGGGGAAGCTGGAGCGCGCTCTCGGGAGGTCAAAGGAGCCTTCCATGTGCGCGTCAGTTCCGCATGCAACTCGGGGAAAAAAGGTATTGGGGTTGGCTGTGGCCTTGCGGCGGCAGCTTTACCCAAAAAACAATTATCCATCCGTGAGAGATCGGGGCAGGGCGGAGGGTTCCACTCTAACCCGATACTCACGGCGGCCCGAGACAGCATGGCCGTCATCTCGGGATCAGACACGGGCAACGCTGGTGCTCCCGAAGGAGGCAACGCAGCCGCATCCTCACTTCCCAAGGAATCTAGCCCGCCCTGTGATGCTGCGATCGACATCGCATCATCCTCTGGAGCGCCGAACGAAACAGACGGTACCTGCGAAGAGGCAGTCGCCTGAATCGATTCGGCGCTCGCTGGCTCTAACACTGGAGCGGGGGGTGTGGCCCGAGGTTCTCTCGTCGGGTTTTTGTTCCACACCGTCACCGTCAGATCATCCTGTCCGCGAGTCGAAGAGCTTCTAGAAGAAGAAGCAGAACGAGTAGCGGATACGGGGACTCTCACTTTTGTCAGATCATTGTCATTGTCATCATTTGTCTAGATCGCAGTGTAGAAATGGTCATGTCCTCACAGAAGGAACATGAGTCATCCACGAACCCTGCAGCTGCATGCTGAATGCCCAGACACACAGAGCAGCAATCGTGACCATCAGAGGACGACATGAATCGACCGCACCCAGAAGAATACGGGCGAACCATCTTTAAAAAGACGTGCCACGTGCAGCTCTTTCAGAAGAGAGGAGGAAATTCACTCTTTCAGCGCTGAGGCGAACAGGGAGAAGCGCAAAGTCTGGCAGACCACTGCTCAGATCGCAGGCAATGCAGAATCTCACATCAACCGTCACACCAACACTGAAGAGGCCGCTCGTCTCGAAGAGTCTTGTCAGTGAGAAATGGCTTGAGGAGTGAAGAAGTCTCTTGACTCCGAAGCGAAAACATACTGCGGTTGCGTTCACTTCCTCCTTTTATACCCACGAGGTGAGGCGGAGTTACGCTATGCAAATTCCGCAGCCCCAAGGCATTCTCATGCCATTGGCTCGTTATTAAATACTCGAAGAGGATTGGCTTTCTATGCGAAACCCCCCATTCTCCGTCACTCCTGACGTAACTCGGAGTGACTACGAAAGGGAACTTCTACTATTTAAATGTATGACAGAAAAAGCATGTTTCATATTC